CCCAATGTCATGTTGCTCTCTGTTCGGGTTAAACATTTCTAAATCCACCCCTGCCCCACCGTTCTCCCTTCTTTCAAGATCTACTCATCACCAGAGCAAGTAAACACATCACACAAATCTGATTGAAGAAGAGCAATTAATGAAAACAAGTCACAGAAAAATAGGTTAATTTTACCTTATTTTGAGGCTACGGGTAGGGGGCAAGATCAACGGGTCGCACCACAGTTTTGACAGGCGGCGGAGGGGCGGACATGCGTTGGAGGTGGAAGGGCGTCGAGAATTTGGAAGTCGACCGATGTTGGAAATGTCTATTGCAGAGGTTGGGGAGAGTGGGTTTAGGGGGAGAAAGGAAATTGAACAAGCTTGAGGTCTTGAGGAACGAGAACAGTGAAAGAGAGGTTGAAAATGGGCGTTTTCCGTGTTTTGTAAAAATGGCGTGTTTTGGACTGAAAACAATCAAAACGTGGTTTTGATTGTTTTCTATTTTCAGTATAAATTTTTTTTTTTGTTTTCAAAAATTCATTTTCAAAATGACAAAGAGAACGCGTTTTCAGTATTTTGGAAAATCGAAAATCGAAAACGGTCTAAAAACAGCAAAGAGAACAGGGCCTTAACTTTTCTGTTGTTCCAAATCATAAAGGAGAGTCAATTGGAAAACTTATTGAGAATTGTTTGCTTGAATGGGGAATAAAGCATGTATGTAGTATTACAGTGGACAATGCAAACACAAATTATGCTTCAATCATTTATGTGAAAAACAAATTGAAGAATTAGAAACTTGATAGTATGATTTTAGGTGGTTCTTAGTTGCATGTTTGTTTTTTTGCACACAGTTAATTCAATTGTTATTGAGGGGTTGAAAGATTTCAATGGATCAATAGCAAGCATTCGCAGTGCGATAAAGTATTTTTTATCATCTGCTTCCTGATTGTTAAGATTTAAATGTTGTATTGAAAGGGAGAAGATGGAATGCGAACAACTTGTGATTTTGGATATACCTACTAGATGGAATTCAACATTCTTAATGTTGGATAGTGCATTGAATTTTGAAAAGGCTTTTGACAGAATGGAGGAAGATGATGAATTTTATTATAAATATTTTGATGAGAATGAAGGTGGAAAAGAAAAAGAGGGGCCACCTAATAGTTATGATTGGGAGAAAGCC